AGGGGCAGATGCTTGACTGACTGAGCCACCCAGGCACCCTAGCTCTTGATTTTCTTTATGGTGTTTTTTGGTCAGTGCATTTTATGTAGGTGGATCTATCAATCTTCCATAGTGGCTTCTGTCTTTGGAGTTATGTGTAGAAAAACCCAGAACATTTATTGAGTGTTGTTGTGCCATGCGCTGCTCTGGACTTGTGCATCCTTCCTCTGCCCCCATGCCTAGTGACCTAGGTGACCCCTAGATACCTCCAGCCCTAGATGAAAAGGGCACAGTCCAGGGAAATGTGTGAAGTTTGTCCATCTCTTAGAGCTCTTGGCTAAAGTTAGTCAGCTAACTGCTGGAACATTCCTTGGCAGTGAAGAGAGCTGATTATAATTCCCAAGGATTTGGGTAACCATGTGCATGTTATAAGGTTATACTCTTCAGTGCCCAGAACCAGGTATGATTTCCATCACTTATTGCTGTATCTCCCTGGAAAATAATCCTCCATTTTAGCAGAATTAACTCGGATTTTAAAATTATAGTTTCATTTTGTCCTGAAGAAATATTTTTTGAAAAGTATTTTAAGGGGCCCCTGGGTGGCTCAGTCGGTTGAGCGACCGACTCCTTGTTCCAGCTCAGGTCATGATCTCAGGGTCCTGGGATTGAGCCCCACATCAGGCTCCACTGGGAGTCTGCTTGGGATTCTCTCTCCCTCTCCCTCTGCCCTTCCCCCCGGCTTGTGCTTGTGTGCACGCTCTCTCTCAAATAAATAAATCTTTAAAAAAACAAATATTTCAAGAGATGGCAAAAGCACAAAAAAGCACTACTCTTGTAGTCCCTGTTCCCACCTTGTCTCCACACAACCTGGAAAAGCATGGAAAACTCAGTTGTCATGCATTTTATCTGCCCCAGGTAACCATTGAAAGGTCTGACCTGTCCATGTTAAGATAGCACAGGAACTGATAGTTGAGGAAAACCCTGTAAGCCAGAGAGCCCAAGTCTGATTCCTGAAGCAGCAAGTATAAACAGTTCTTCAAATGCTGTTCACCTGTCATCGGACTAGACTCCTTGGGGCAGGTTCTCTCTGGGAGGGAGACACAGTGTGCTCTCCTGTGACTGCCAGTCTGTTTGCTGGGTTCTCCTGCTGATGTATAAATTAAGTGAGATCAGTGTTGCAAAGAATTTGGGAATGAAGAGATAGGGAAGAACAAACTTGTGACAGAGTCTTACTGAACCTTAAGAGACTTTTATTGCTTTGAGTAATGGACCAAGGAGGGGGGGAATGTTGGGTCCCTTCTGCTTCCCTATCCCACCCCCTGTACCCACTTTAACTTTGAGTTTTATCCCAAATGTCACTTATTAGAGGAAGGTTTCCCTATCCTCACTGACTAGATCAGATGCCCTTAGGGTGCATCTTAGTCCTTTAGTTTCCTTAAAACCTTCATCCGTGTAATATTGACATTTATTTATATGAGTAAAACACGCATGGCTCCCACTTTTGTGAAACTTACAGTTTATTTGAGAGGTGGAGACACATTAATAATATATATATTATATATTATCTGACTCAGATCATTAATGGGTTAATTGAAAGATAAATCATTTTTGGCTGAAACAATCTATTTTGACTTAAGATGTATAAATGTGCATTCATTTGCAAATCTCATGGGAAGGCTTTTTCTTGGCATACGGATTGTCTACTGGGTTCCCTTGAGTGTTTTCTTGCATAAACTACATCTAACGAATACCCTGTGATTTTCAGTGGAATGAGAACTTTGATACTTTGGAACAATATGAATGCAAAATTCTCTTGATTTTTAATTATTCCCACCCCCCCATCCTTTCACACTGATTTTGCCCGTATCTGTTTTGGCAGCACTGTCCCCAGTGATTCATATTTATTCTTCTCAATAGCAGCTACACTTTTTTGTTGGTGTGTGGAGGAGGGAGGCAGCTGTCTCTGAGAAGAGCTCCTGAGGGCCAAGACAGGGTCGGGCAACCAGCTGCTCCTGCAGGTGTCGAAATTTCCGCCATCAGTGCATGGTGCTTTGGCTCTGTCCACCTAGGAGGTGGGCCCTGAGTCACATGATTGTGGAGAACACAAGCCCCCACGCCTGGGTCACAGTGCCTTGCTTGGATCCAAATGCTCACACAGCTGCTCTATAACATTTCCCAGCAGTCTCTTTGGTCCAACTAAATCTGTGTTTATTTTTTATAGTGAAAATCATTTCTTTTTTCTTTTTTTAAAAAAGATTTATTTATTTGTGAGAGAGCGAGCGAGAGAGAGAGTACAAGTCGGTGGAGGGGAGCAGCAGAGGGAAAGGGAGAAGCAAGCTGAGCAGGGAGCCCAATGCTCGGAGCTCAATCCCAGGGCCCTGGGATCATGACCTGAGCCGAAGCCAGACGCTTAACCGACTGAGCCACCCAGGTGCCCCAGTTAGTCATTTCTTTGTGTTTAGGGTAGAGGGTAAAGATACAAGGTGTTCCCTAGCCATGTTTTCTTTTTCACATCCATGGTCACTCAGATGCCCCGATGTCTCTTGGAGCATACGACTGGGCAGGCGTTTTCTTTGTTTAAGAGGGAACAGAGCACGAATGCCTGGGGCCTCACTGAGCTCATGTCCCAGAGTACTGGGCCTGCGGTAGCTGGGCACCCTGCTATGTCACGCACTGCCCTCCTTCCCTCCTCCCCTGTGCTCCCTGCGGTGTGGGCTCTGGGCTGCCTTCTGGTGCTCAGCGGACTAGGGGCCTGGATCCTGTCTCCCTTGACCCTCGTGAGCTTAATGTCTAATGGGAAAGCCCTTTCCTAGAAGAATAGCAATTGCTTTAATGTTCTGCTTGACCCATTAGGATGGAGAATGGCATCTTCCTTTCTCTGTTCACTTTTTGGGTGCAAGGGCAGACATCTATGATTGCAGCAGGACCAGGAAGAACAGAGAATATTCCTCAGGTAATTAGCTTCTTGGTCTGCTACCAGAGCAAAATCATGCTGTGTTTGCAGCTTATTTATTTATAGGTCAATGTCTCCCATTACATTCTGAGGTCCTTGAGGGCAAAGTATGAAAGGGTGGCTTAACGCTAGCGCTTTAAAAGTCAGATGACCAGAATTCAAATTCTGCCTTTGCCATTACCAGCTCTTCTGACCACAGGCACGTTATTTAAACTCTTTATGCCTCAGTTTTCTCATTTGCACAATGGGGATAATAATAATAATATTTTCTTCATAAGGTCGTTGTACAGCTTTTATTTATTTATTTATTTTAAGCAAGCTCCATGCCCAGTGTGGAGCCCAGCATGGGGCTTGAACTCACGACCCTGAGATCAAGACCTGAGCTGAGATCTAGAGTCAGACACTTACCAGCTGAGCCACCCAGGCGCCCCATGTTGTGCAGATTTTTTAAACACACAGCATAGAGGGACGCCTGGGTGGCTCAGTCGGTTAAGCGTCTGCCTTCGGCTCAGGTCATGATCCCAGGGTCCTGGGATTGAGTCCCGCATCGGGCTCCCTGCTCCGCGGGGAGCCTGCTTCTCCCTCTGCCTCTGCCTCTCTCTCTCTCTATCTCTCATGAATAAATATATAAAATCTTTAGAAAAAAAATAAAGTCACCGCATAGAAAACATTTAGCATAGTGCCTCCTTTGTAGCAAGTGCTCAATAAATGTTAACTATGATGCTGCTGTTAATAATCATTCTGGTGCTGTCAGCACCTTGCAAATTGCTGTAAATATTTGCTGAATGAATATTCAGGAAGTAGGGTTTGGAAGCCTCACTAGAGACTAGAGACATTTTAACACCAGGTTCACTAGGGAGCTTACAAAAGCAGGTCTGATCACAGATGGAGCGCCTGCCCATGCTAATAAAGTTAACAAAGAACATTTCTTGAGCAGGCACCATCCCAGGAGAGCAGTTCATTGAGTTAGCTGGGATTATTATGTTAAATTCTGCTGGAATGCTCTCATTTATTTCTATCTATTATTAGAATAACTCTAGGGAACTGACGTTAGTGGACCAAATGTGTTGGTGACGGATGGGGGCAGCAAGTAATTGGTGCTCTATGTAAAAACTGGGATTTTGCTTTTCTTGAAGAGAGCAAGATTCTAAATCGTATTGAGAAAAAGCAGTTTTGGGTGTGGCCACAAATGAATCAAAGAAATGCACCCTTCAGAAGTCCTTAGAGATTCCAGGTTAACGGTGGGAAACGTCAGCACATGGCCACCCAGCTTGAGTTCTGGCATTCTTTTTAAAATTCTGTCTTTTGACACTTTCTTCCTTTTGTTGTGGTTCCATGGAGCCATTTGATATATTGCCTAGGTAAATACTCTTTACGTTTTTTATAATTCAGCATGAGTTCAAAGCCTCTGGCTTCTTAAAATCCAAAGAATAATGTTCACTGCCCCTTAAAAAAAAAAAGTCAGATCTGTTCTCTCTCCCAAACTGCAGGAAGCCGTCTTCCATCTCCAGCTTGTCTTGCCCTGTTGTGGGCTGGGGAACAGGCGGGGTGGCTGGATGGTTCTGTCAGCCTCCCTCACTCTTAGTGGACACAGACACATCACACTTCACGGGTCGCTCAGAGATGTTCGACAAGCACTGTCGTCGTATTTGGTGCATCCAAAGGGTCATGCCTCCCAGCTAGGTCTTTCGGACAGGAAGTGACAGAAATATGATGGCCTCTTTCCCTCTTCCCAGATCTGATGTTTCAACGTGGCTTCCTGCTTCGGTGCTGTTTGTGGGTATAATCTATGCTGGTTCCAGAGCATTATCCAAACTGGTAAGTGTTAGAGCCTTTTTAGAGAGACAGTTTCTCTTTCCTCCTCCCGTTTGCTTTTTAACTTATTGCACCTTGGCTCAGTAGGGGACACGACATCAGCTTTCATAATGGTACGGCTAGATTGGAGAACAACGTGGGGCCTTTTACCCCTCTCCCTGAAGTGAGGATAACCAGATAACAGGGTCGGGCCAACTTGTTTTACAAGATGCAGAGGCATAGGTGGAGACGCAGGGAGAGAGAGAGGTGATCTTTATGGAGGCTGACCCAGACAGGGCCAGTCCACTCTGCCTGAATGCAGGCTGTCCTCGGGAGCAGCCTACTCCTTGCTTCTGAGGAACTGTAACCCTGCCCACTGGTGATGTGGACTGGGGGGTGCTGGGCTCAGTAGCAATGTACCTGCCTGGCACAGCGTTGGTATCCAGTCTGTGGGGACACTAATAAAACAAGTGTCCCCCTGTTCTCCCACTCCAGCTGCCCATTTGAGCTCCTCAAAGGAGGGAACTGTAAAGAATAAACTTCTTCCAGTTACATTATATGAAAATATAAAAATTTAGTTATTTTTTCCATCAAAAGAGAATCCATTGATATGGCCATTGACCAGAGACTCAGAACAAGGTTTAAAAGTCAGTAATGCCTCTTTCTGTCTTGTCCCCTGACTGCTTGTACTGTCTTTATCTATCATAAAATGATTGTGTTGTGACCTTTGGAAAAGTGCAAAATTTGTGGAACTGTTCAGTCTTTTTATGCAAAGTCTGTTGTTATGTTGGTCCCTTAGGTCTCAGATATGAAAACATTAAAACGAACACAAAATCTGCCTACCCGCACAACAGTATTATTGTTAGGACAACCCTGAAGTTTGCAAAATAGCAGTTGAGAGTTACTAGCGGTGATTAAATCATCATTTTTCTTTCATGATTCATAAGCTTGAGTCATTGGGATGTTGTGTCCAATGGGGGAGAAACGTCCTGGGTGGGCCCAAGAAATGACCCACAGCACATATTGGTGCTCAGCCCAGAACCTGAGACCTGCACTGGCTTCCGGCTGCCCCTTCATTCTGTCGGCTTCCGTGTCTGCTGCCTCGCTTTACACCTGATGGCCTGCAGAGGGCGCTCCCCCTCGTATAGCAGAATACAGGTGTTGATAAAAACAATGCATTCTTTTTTTTTTAAGTTTTAATTTAAATTCCAGTTAACATACAGTGTAGTATTAGTTTCAGGTGTAGAATGTAGTGATTCAACACTTCATATAACACCCGGTGCTCATCACAACAGGTGCCCTACTTAATGCCCATCACCAATAGAACCCATCCCCCCATCCCCCTTCCCTCTGGTAACCAGCAGTGTGTTCTCTACAGTTAAGAGTCTGTTTCTTGGTTTGCCTCTCTTCTTTTCATCCCCTATGTTCGTTCATTTGAAAAACAATGTATTCTTGTTCAAAGGCTTTGAAAATTTCCTATAGGATCTGGATAGTTATAGATGCCAGAATTTTGAAGTTTGAATAACTATTGTTGTGCTAATAATAACATTTTTTGTTTGTACAGTGCTTTTTTGTATGTTTCCATAGTGATTTCCTCTGTATCTTTTTATGTGATTCTCAGTCACCTGACAGGCGGCAGATGAAGCAGATGTTTATCACCTGACAGAGGAAGGCACTCAGGTGTGGAAAGTCTTGGTAACCTGCCTCTAGCCTCAGCTCGTGGCAGCTCCTCTGACTTCAGACCTTTTGCCTTTTCAGATTTGTCTCTTTAGGGCCAGCATACGTGGATTTTAGAATAGCTCAGGGTAGAGTAGTCAGGCGTAACTTTAGACTCTTTTAGTTACAAGTTACAGAAAGCTCATAAACTGTTCTAAGCAAAAAGGAAATGAACTGGTTCACAGAATTGAAAAGCTGTAGATCAGGCAAGGCTTGATTCAGAGGTTCCAATGACATTCTGAGAACCCAGTTTCTGTCTCTCTGTCTTTAGTTCTGCTCTTGTCTTTGCTCCATTTCACAGCCAGGCTCTCCCCTCCTGGGTGTTGTTGACTCTAGGCTCACATCCTTACAACATGAAGTGTAATGGAAAGAGACTCTTCCTCGTAGCTCCTGCAGGAACCTCAGGATTCACTCTGAATACACCAGTAGGGCCACTGCCCTTCCCAGGTCTGAAAGCTCACCAGGAAGATGGAATTATGCTGATTTTTCAGCCCTGGGTACGGGTGTTCCTGGACCATTCACTGTGGCTGCAGAGACTCAGAGCACTGTTTGGCCAGCCCTGCTCAGACAAGATCCCTGTCTGGATCCCATAGACTGAGAGAGGGGGGTGGCAGATCCTTGATATTGGGATGCTTCACCAAAAGAAGGGCTAAGGATACTAGATAGCCTAAAATCCCTCAGAAGTCAATTGTAAAGGTCAGTCCAGTACATTCTCAGGCAGACGGGGAGTTCTGTAACCAAGAACACTGCTTCTCGGAGGGTGATCCACACGTGGTGGTGTCAGTCTGTGAGCTCTGTTAGTTGTCCATAAGGAGATTGTGCCAGAATGTACATCAGCTTTGGCACTAAACACACTGTTTCGTTGAGCTGACATTTTTTTTTTCATAGCAAGACTTTTTGAAGAAGGAAGCAGTGCCCTGATTTACCTTCTGGCTCGAGTTCCTTATTTTGGGGGAGAACTGGTACTATCAGTGGCCCTGGCCTAGGGCACAGCCTTCTTTAAAGGGTAAGAAGAAGCTGCTGCAATTCAAACTCGTTGAGCAAAGGAAAACAACCCAAACCCAAATATACCCAATTAGAGTGGGAGGAGTACAGAAAAGAGACACTCATTATTGTTTCTGAGTGAAATAACAGCCCAGGATCTTTTTTTTTTAGATTTTATTTATTTGCGAGACAGAGAATGAGAGACAGAGAACATGAGAGGGAGGAGGATCAGAGGGAGAAGCAGACTCCCTGCCGAGCAGGGAGCCCGATGCGGGACTCGATCCCGGGACTC